CGTTTTGAATTTAGCCGGAATGTGTTTTTAACTGTTCAAAGCGCACGGCCTTACCTTGAAAGTAGCTTCCTTATCGCAACCCTCTCATTAAAATAGACAATGAGCTCCTGATTTGAGATCAGTGAAGAGCAACTAAATAGGTAATATGTTTGAGTTACAAACCTCGCAAAAAGAGGCCAGCACTTGGATAATCAGTGGTCATCTGATTATGGCAAACAACATATTAAGTAAGCCAGTTCATCAGCATGGGCACCTTGTTGAAGCATGCCAGTAAAGAGGCAAAATCAAACTGTATAAATTGCTAAAGTATTTTCGATAGAAGGTTGTTCAGTTACTTACATATTTCATAAGATTTATTGGCTTCATATAGAAGTTTCCAAAGCAAATTATAACCAGTTTTTCAGACTCTGCACGGATAATTCCAATAATTGTCCCGCTGCGACGGTTCCTGTAAGACGAACAGCTAATGGCTGCGAAATTTTGGAATTATACGGAAGCATTCTTCTAGAATCGGAAACACAATGTGTTAAATTGTGTAAAGTACAGTGTAATATTGTTTAGGTAATTATTTATATTAATCAACTATTAATAGGACCGTTTCTTACCCAGATAGTTACTGTTTTGTTGTCTTGGAACTGGGAAGGGCGCGTATCTGATTCTTCCACTGTTCTTCCGAACTTATAAACAACTGTAATTCTCCGATAGTACATCTTAAGGGGCATACAGCTCAAGTCATTCCATGCCAAATGCAGGGTATGAATGCACTCTCCTCGCACATTCTCAAACAGACAATGTTTTCCACCCTTCCCTTGAGCCAACAACCCCTCCTGTAAATATCAGTAACTGCTTTAACATGTCCCCTCCTAACTCCTCATATCACCCCCATGTAGGTCTTAGTAACTCCTTTACTCTAGATACTCTAACCTATGTGATCTTAGTGGGGAAGTTGTTTAATATATGTCTTATAATTGCTCGTTTGATCTATAACGAAATGACAAATTTAATCATATGTATGACTATTTGTCAAACGTCACTTATTATGATAACTGAGGGATCAACCAGTGGCAAATCACTTCTGCGAAGAAAACGCGATTGGTGAAAATAAACATTTACTATCGTACTCGTCTTGTTTAATTGTACCAAAAACACTTACTTGGGCGAAACGTTCTTTCGTCGTTGCTGTCACTTTTCATAACTTGCTTCTCTCTATGAAATGCCTATTTTCTCCTTCAAATAAATATTGAAACATGGATTTATTTCGCCAGTAATTCCGCCAGTAATATTTCTGATCTAACTATATTTCCTAAAAACTGTGATCTTTTTCGAAGTGAACATCAGCAAGGATGAAAGTCCATAGATACTGTCGTCGATTTTCAGGTTGATAGTTAGCTGTCGTGTACCGTAGGTAGGAATGACAGAGCCATTTGCAGCGCTTGGTCGAAGCATCGTAGCTTGTGACTTGCTGCTACCAAAGGATACGGCAAAAACTTGGCCACTTGTGGCGACCGCGTACCTAGCGTCAGTGCAAAAATCGTGCACTTAAAATAAACTAAGAACCTGAAGTGACGGGGAGGAGACAGGTGAAAATGCAATGACCTGCACCTCGGAGTCTATAATTATAGTTATCCACCATTTCGAAACGCTTTTGCAAGTATAATATATATTAAAAGACATTATTAATATTATTGCAACATTATAAAAATGGTGATGGATGAATAATAGACTCACCGCAATTGACTTCTTTGGAAGAAACGCCAGCTCAACAATTTTAGTGGTGACCGAGTCGAGGTTGACTATGATCCCCCTGCTCCTATTGACAGTAATAGGTTACGCCTTTAAGGTACTACCCTTGACTTTTCTCTAAATTTAAATTCCAATCACTTTTTTCATATCTTCAACTCAGTTTTCGATTTTATTTCCAGTAGACAGACAAATTGAAAAGCCTGTAGATGCTGATCAACTACTGTCAGTTACAAGGAACTCAAACTCCCTGTGGCATTGTTAGTTCCTTCTCATTAGCATCCAAATACCTTGCCTGCCTAACAATATATCGCTTTTCTCATTAATTTTTAACATTATTCCAACATTATTTCTTGCTTCTCTTTCCAGCTCACTGTCGTTCCTATCTCCAAACTACCTATTAACTGATCCATATCTAACAATTTATACCATTAGTTTACTTAAAAACAGTGTGATATGCTGTGTGGATATTTTGTCGAATATACAGAAGGCAAAGTTGTCTGGTTTTGTTTGTAACGTGAGGCTAGAAGAGAAAGTCCATTCCTATAAGGTGTACAAAAAGTAGACAATAGACTAGAGACCATTATTTACAATCAACCATAAAACGTAAGAGAGCCTAACACCACAAAAGGAGGGAGGGTGATGTATCTGACCAGCATTCATGACGGTGGGGCGATAACCTCAATCTACCCATATCTGTGTGAGAGAAAATTTTGTTTGCCTACGGATCTTTACGATAGAGCAGGATGTAAAAGGTCAGTGATATTGATGTTACTTTCCCTTGTTAACCCCGTCTACGAATCATGTTCGTAACGTTGCACTGGTTTTAACTTCCTACCAAGAAATCCTATTACAAGTCGATCTGGACAATTATACAGAAAAAGAAAACATAGAAACTCCAATAAAGGTACAAATAATAGAAACTATAACAAAATACAGATATTAACATCACAAAATGGGATTAAACAGAGTACCAAAATGTAGAACAGAAGGAGTGATCTTCCTAAACAAAACCTTCAAATAGGATTATACATGTGCCACAAATCACTGTATCCTACACAGGTTTGCTCATTAGGATTTGTTGCAACTTGATTTAGGCTGCCGGCCAAAGTGACCAAAGCATCTTGGTAAATAGCCTCAAGAATAGGCCTAATAAACACGTACTCACATACAGATTATCACCTTCTCTTTGGACCAACAGTTCATGGTGCATATCTCTAAATTTGCTAGTTGTTATTGTCATTTATTCAAGTCACTAGCCTATTAACTTTGCTTATTATCTTCGTTTCCTCTTCTACTCCTACACTTTAACCCTCTCACTTAATCTTCGCTACCAATTAGTCAACTTATTTATGGATTTATTTACTTAGTTCTGTGATCTTCTTCTTATTAGAATCAGAAATTTTTCCTCATTATTCTCCACACAGCAGCTAACTGATCTCCGGCTTCGTGATGTGATAGCTTCTGATATCGAGCAAACCTACTGACCTGAGTCAAACCCGTTCATCCAAACGACTTACCACATACTTACTTACGCCTGTTACCCCCGATGGAGCATAGGCCGCCCAACAGTTTTCTCCACCCAAATCTGTCCAGGGCTTTCCCCTCCAGTTCTGTCCAATGTTTGTTCATTCCTCTCATATCTTTCTCCATTTCTCGACGTATTGTGTTCCTTGGCCTTCCTCTGGTCCTTTTGCCTTGAGGGTTCCAAGTGAGGGCTTGTCTTGCGACACATTTAGGTGCTTTTTGTAGTGTGTGTCCTATCCACTTCCACCGCTTCTTCCTGATTTCCTCCTCCACTGGAATCTGATTTGTTCTCTCACACAGTACGTCGGTGCTGATCGTGTTTGGCCAAGGAATCTAAAGTATTTTGAGAATATAACTGTTCATAAACACTTGTATCTTCTGGATGATGGCTTTCGTAGTTCTCCAAGTTTCCGCTCCATACAGTAGAACTGTCTTGACATTTGTATTGAAAATCCTGATTTTGGTTTTGGTTGAAAGTTTTTGGAGTTCCAGATATTTTTCAACTATAGAAATGCAGCCCTCGCTTTGTTTATCCGTGCCCTCACATCTTCATCGGATCCACCTTTCTCGTCGATGATGCTGCCCAGATATGTAAAGGTGTTCACGTCCTCCAAGGCATCTCCATCGAGAGTGATTTGGTTGGTGCATGTTGTGCTTCATCGAAGAAGCCTCCACAGTGTTTTCCTATCCACGCTATCGAATGCTTTCTCATAGTCGATGAAGTTGATGTAGAGTGGTGAGTTCCATTCTATAGGTGTTCCACAATGGTCCGTAATGTTGCAATTTGGTCAGTACACGATCGATTTTTACGAAATCCAGTCTGTTGATCTCGAAGTTGGGCGTATACGAAGTCCTTCATTCTGTTTAGCAATACCCTGTTGAAGACTTTGCCTGGTATTGAAAGAAGGGCGATGTCTCTGTAGTTCTCACACTTGCTGAGATCGCCTGTCTTTGGTATTTTGGTCAAGTATCCTTCTTTCCAGTCTGATGGTACTTGTTCCTTTTCCCAGATCTTCTTTAAGAGGATGTGAAATATATTCGCAGTTGCTTCCACGCCCGCTTTCCTTGCCTCTGCTAAAATGTTGACTGGTCCTGCTGATTTGCCACTCTTGATTTGTCTGAACGGAACATACGAACCCATAAATAATTGCAAACAGACTAGAATTTGCGCAGTCGAAATGGCTTAACTATCATCCGTTTGAAACAACCAGAAACTATGAGCCATGGATGAAGAACAAGATTGGAGTGGAAAGAAACCAGCTGGCTCATACTAGCTCGTGGAAGGGATGTTCGTCATATTGGACATTAAGTCTAAGATTTTTGGTTGGCGCTAGTTTCAGGTATGGCGCAACTCAATGGGCAAAAGTAGTGAGAAGGACAAACGGTATGATAGACAGTTGAGACTGTGGGGTGATCATGGTCAGTTTGCACTGGAGCATGCAAAAGTGTGTCTTTTGAGGTCTGAGGGTTTGGGAGCAGAAATTTTGAAAAATTTAGTACTCCCAGGTAATTCTATTATTCACATCATCTGAAACTTTCAGGCGTCGGGAGCTTCACAATTATAGATGATTCTTACATTACTGAGAAAGATTTGGGCAGCAAGTAACTTGGCTAGATTTCCGTATAAAGTTTTAGTTTCTTTATTACAGAAGATGACGTTGGGAGGGTAGTTACTCCATATTTCGTAACAAAGCTTTTCACAGGCAAGAGCACAAGTCGTGACTGAGTCTCTGATGGAGCTAAACGATGAAGTTAATGGAAATTATTTAATAGAGGTTCGTGTTCATATGATTTGTTTTGAGCATTTACAGGGTGTCCGCGATTTGTTAGACAATGATCCACAGATTTTTCTTTCCTTTGACATAGTTATTGTAACAGATGCCAGAGAAAAGTAAGCATTCTTTTCTTAGAACTTTTTATATCTTTTATGACGGCTTTTAATTATTTTCTCCTGGCAGCCCTGACATCTTGTTTTTTGTGCTCATATACATCCAATCTCTCCCTTCCCATATTACTTTCTCATATGACATCCAGTTTTTTGTTGTAATTAAACAACTTACTTAGTCGAAATATCGATATAGTTCCCCTAAAGGATCAGTGTTTATAAAGTATATTGTGATTAAACAATCCTTTTAGAAGTTTAACCGGTTTGTTTTATTTAACTACCGGCTACATCACGCTTGTTTCGTATCTAGTACCTTTCCCTACTGTAACTTGTTTTGATGTGTTATGGAATGTTAAACTATCACTAAACGTACCGAAGATTAATAATGCTGAGATAACACGTACGCACTCCGATTTTAGGCTTGCTTATCCAGAAATGAATCTAGCAGATTTCTCACGATTATCTTCAAAATATTTCGCAATTTTGTATGCGAAGTTTTCCCTTTTAGCTCATTATTGACCAATCGGCTACCTATTTGCACGGCTGATCATTACTTTACCGTGAAGTATGTGCTTAAGTATGCGTTGTGTATATCGATAAGTAGATGCGGTTAATTTTTGTACAATACCGCGTTTCTGTATGTCAGTAACACGTGAAGCAATCGGAAAGCAAACAGAAAACTATTTTTGAGCTTTGAAATTCCTTTTCCCGAGAGAATCGGTAACTCAGACGGATACAAACTAGTGTTAGGTCTTACACTGATTATGGCTACCAAAAATATCGCGATTATGTAATTATTGGTTTCCAGCTCCTAAACCGTAGGCTTGAATGCTGCCCCACCTCATAATAATAATGTTATAAGCCCTCATACTTAGAATGAGGCTTATATCTAAGTACTAGCTTGGGTGAGTCGATTTTTAGTTACTAAATCGAAATAAAAGAAATACTCCATAGTGGGGATTCGTACTGACAGCTTAATTATATTTACAATCAATTTGTATCTAACATCTGACGGTTCGATCCGCTGACCTTAAATAACCACAAAAGTTGGTTTATCATGGTTTACCATAAGGCTCAACTTCCGTTTCAGGAACTTACAATAATAACAGGTTTCTTGCCTTCAGTCACTCAGTCAGCTAAAACGCAGAACTTGGTATTTACTTACATCAATTTAGCTTGCCACACCACATTACCACAGAGACAATTTGTCAATTCAAATCCCATTAGATTAGATGTAGCAGTACTAACAGTAACCGATACATTATGGATGGAAGATATGATTCGAAAAGTACATCCCAGTGAAATTAATTTAAGAAGAGAAAAAAGTCATGAAGGCTTCAGAAGATTATAATTTGAGAGAATACAGAAAAAGGTGCACCAACCGCACTGCAAGCGATTTTGAGCCATCTCATTCAAAGTCCATAACCACCGGTTACGATCGTCTTGCAAAGCCAACCAGGTAGTCTACGTCAATTAATATGACCTAGTTCAGTTGTCAGTGCCTTGATGGATTTGTTTGATGCTTTGGTTTGCTGCCCCAGCTTTCCTCCATCCTATCCCTGAATCACAAAACATCACTCATCAAAGTGGTCGGTGGTTGGTAATACGTGATACTTGTCTCAACCACCTTAAGTGATAAAGATTCAAAACTTCGACAATTGATTTGCCATTCTTGCCTGGTACACTTTTCCTAACCTCAGCATTGTTTAGTCGGTGGTCCCGAGATATATGAGCAATGCTTCGAAGATACCTATGATCGAATACAAGTGACCTACGAATATCCTTTATTATTAGTGACCGTGTTTTATACACTTATAGTAGGACGGAGCGAACTGCTGCGCTTTTTCGTGCTTTGTGGGTACGAGGGTGGATGTTACTTCCCGGCTGCGCACATCATGGAAGGGCTGTGGTTGTCAGAACGGACATCAGCCTCGTGACTTCCGAAGAAACTCGGTTTTCATCATGAGACGTCATAACTCTTGATAAGTGTGAATTAGTTTTCTTCTGTTATCTATCGCCTCCGCCTTTCCAATCTCGTTTGCTTTCGTTACCTAACACTGTTCGCGATCATTTTGTAGGCCCTTCACCAGTCTGTGTTTAAGCTGCCTCCACTCCTCATCGTGTTCAGAGTCAGATGGGATGAGTTTCTGAGCATCGATCAATTCAGTAGATGCCACTGAAATCCATTGCTACTCTCTAACCTCTTAAATTATGTTACTGGTGGATGTCACTACTGTTCCCACAGCTTTTTGGACATAATTCTAGTTTGCATCGGGTTGGGTATCACTTACACATCTGTCTGTGTTTTTCTAGTTGTTCTCGAAATATACTCTTGGTGTTTTGTCGCCAAGTAGAACTATAAGAGGCTTCGTTTCTGTGTCTTTTTGCGTTCATTAGGCAGCAGACAAATACGCGTTCATATTCGAGCATGATTTGAGTCTAAACACGTGCTCCAGAATGATCGGCAGTCTTCTTTTGAGCCTCTCTATCGATGGCTGATGGCAATGTGGTCTAGTTGTGTTCCTCTTTGTTTATTTTGATATTCAAATTACCATGTCCTAATGCCTTGAATGCCCGTATTTACGTTTAAATGTCAGAAATTACCTACTCACCGTCATTCTAATTATTACTATTGGATATTTACTTCATAGCAGTCGTGATTACATGAACAACATCACAAGCGAAATTATCGTTTCATTTGCAAAACATCAGATATTTTTAGGGTCTTTTTGCTTAATGTAAACCCTTTTTTATTTACCACGTCACTTTGTGTTTAAAGTATTGTGACGACAGTGAGTTCGAGTACTAATAATGTGATGTTTGAATGGTGTAAAGATGTAGGGTTTATCTGAATATTTATGTCGGGTGCTTGTTGGAAATATCAACTGACCGATCTGTAGAGTTCTGATTCAAACAACTAATACAAATGTATCTATATATTCTTTTTTTTGTGACAGATTATTAATTCGCCTCAGTCAGCTTTTAAGTGGTACTTCTATCACTTTAGTTGTATGCTTCAGTATTGGAGTCATTGCATATTTAAGAATCTGCTCTCCTGAACATGTGATAGTTGAATCCCATCCAGATTCTTATTGCCCTGATCTTAGACTTGATCGACCATTCTCCGAATTTATTAAAATGGTCAATGAACAACCGTTAGAAGAAATGACATCTGAAAAACTTCGTCATACACCATGGCTTATAATTGTTTATGTTTTTGTACAGAAATTTATTTCTCTAGTAAGTTTTATTGCTTTCGGTGAATTGTTTTTATTATTTGAACATATAATCAGCATCTTTAGTGTCTTGTTTGGTTTTCCGCTAATATTGATACAATGATGAAGGTTCAGATAGATTTTAATCTCATAAATGCACTCATTCTTAAACTCCCTCCGAATCCTGAGCACCAAAATCTTATAATCTTTCCTTTCTTTTGCATACCTAATGTTTTTTTATATATCCTGATACTTTTACTACTTCAACTACTCTGGGTTTTGGTTTGACAATTTGATCTCGCTGTACTAGTTTGGTACAGTAACTTGAACCAATGGATATTTGTGCCAGTTTCTACACTGCGTGTGTTTAAATAACTAGTGTAGTACCCATTTATTTTTTGAACCTACTGTTAGTCACTGGCTATCATGAAATTTCATCTAACCGTTCTCCACTACCCTGTGGATTAGACGTATAGATCAAAGGCTCGGAAAGTGACCTCATAAGAAAACTATCTACTTTGGGTTGGGCAGCCAGATAGTATCCCAGCTCACACAAATTCAGTAACGTGGTGCCTTAATATTTTGGTGATTCTTAGTACCATTGTTTGTATTTAAATAATAATATGGTAGGAAAGGTTTAATACCACCTATCTCAACAGACCGAATACAAGTGACTTGAAAATCATCTCAAGATGATCAGACTAAGATTGCATCAAACTTTGTACTTTCTGACTATTGACAGAAGCTAAGTTGGAAGATGTAAACCGTCTGTCTATAGAAAAAAAGCCCAAATTATCAAGTTTAGAAATTGTTATATGACTCGAAAACTACTGTTTGTTTCTGGCGTTTAACGATTTTTCTTGGTTGGCATTTTTTTAGCAAGGTTATATTAACAGGACAGGGTTGTCGACCCTCCTTTGTCCCGAGTTAGGGATCATCGGTTCTAGGTGGAGGCAACCAATCTTATAATGCTGTAAATCATAGACATCTCCTTATTTTACATCACTTATTTTTTGTATGTAAAGATTTTCTATTTTGTTTTATAGTACTTCTGTACTAATCTTGGAGTCACTACTTTCATATGCTACACAACTATTCTAGGTTCTTTGTTATCAGTAAATAGAACACTATACTATAAATTTTACACAATAATCATGACTATTCAATGTCGTATGTTTAGCACAATATGAAATTCTCAGCATGGAATATTTCAATAAGTTTCCTTCACAAAACAAGGCATAACTGAAGTACGCGATTCAGGAATCTACATGTGAATAACATTCAATCTTTTCTCAGCAGATTGCTAGCCACCGCCATATCTCGGACTATACTTTTTCGAAGCGATAGCTTGATTACTAGACATAACTGACGTGTTAAAATAAAGCAAGAAGTAACTTGTTAAATTGTTTTGAGATTAGGTAACAGATAATCCGAATATTCAAACATGCCGCCATATGAAAATGTGTTGACTTATGTATGCATTTACGACGGTTTATACGATTATTTTTATTGTTAGAACGTTTCATGACGTACGTTTTGGTGCAGTTGCTTAAAGGTTCTATTCTATATGTTATTGGATTACTTACTGTTAAAAACTTCACAAACTATATCAGTTAGAATAACTGAGTAGTATTTCGAACCCTTATTCTCAGTGTTGTAGTTGGTTGGGGAAAAAGAAACCTCAAGGTCATTATCAGGTGATCATGCAAAAACCACTTGTCAAGTTAGTAATAGTGGATGTACAGAACTATTGTACGGGTTGCTGATGTTGTTTATGCCATTTTTTGCAGCTCAAATTTCAATTTACTGTATTTCGGTCAATAAATTAATTGCCTTACCAATTAACTACTTAATGCAAACATCTTATCTCTGTTAAAAAAGACAAACTAACTGAATGTAATATAATGTATCGTAGCTTCTTTGTGTTGTGAAGTTGTTGTCTGACTTACCTTGTTCCTATTTTTTTTTACTCTTTTTGTTTTTTCAGCATGGTCATTTCCCAAGAAATCATAAAGAAAAGGCAGAAGTTAAAGAAATGATATCTAAAGGTAACCAACCACCATGTGTTATTTCTTTGTTATTTCATTTCCAAATATATGTTATCAATACTGAAATGTTTACATAGTTTTTAATTTCCCTAGATTTAACATTTTCTTGTCAATCATCATCGTTTTCTTGACTTGGCCAATCAGTCTAAAGTAATATTAGAATGTAGCAAACAGGTGGTTGCCTTTCACACTATGTAAGTACACGCAGGTGCATCCACTGTTTGTATTCTCTCTAATTCTAAACTTCTGATATCCTCATAATCTCTATCTTACTCCTCCTAAATTTATCTTACTGAATTATACTTCTCGAATGATATCATATCTTCGCTCCCTAATCTTCTTCATTACTGCAAATACTTCTATTATCGCTATCACTCTTGGATTTGAACTGACAGTTGCATCTCTGTGCTAATGTGGTATGGCAATCTGAACTGATGTACTTACGTACGAAGTTCTGCGTCGTATCTATCTATCTATGTAAGTACAAAGGAAAATTATAAAGGTGAATAATAAATTAGTCCAAGTAAGTAAGTATTAGCTTAAGCAATCGCTCAGTGGTTTAAAAATAACACTGTTTACTTAAATTAAGTACTATTATTAACTCTCGTAATGATTTGCTTAAATGATGATTATTACTTTTGAATCTGTACACACTATTTAGTTGTTTCTGTATAATTTCATCTCTACCTAAATAATATAACTGATCACATAAATTTGTACTTAAATGCTTTGTTTAGTTCTTCCATGGTCTTGTAAAAACTTATAAGCGCTAATCTTGCTGTCTAATTTTACGAACCTTGATAAGTGGAAAAATGCTCAGACTTAATGATAGGACTAACACACTATTAGTCTAATCACACGACTTCCTACCGTAGGATTGAATTTTCTGAAAATTCTAATCCCTACTTAAACTTAATTAGCTTGGCAGTATCTAATTTTGTCATGATAAATTTGTCCATAACTAACGAAGTGAGCCTGTGTATGTTTATGAGGTTGAAATGTTTCCTAGTTTGTTTTCTTAACATTTCATAATTATACTTTAGAATTTTAATGGATATTTCTGTTTAAAGTTTAATGTCTGATTTATGAAGAAAAAAGTTTTCTTCAATGAATATTAGATTATATTTGATACCCTACTTCATAATTACATTTGCAAACATTTGAATAGTTATAACCGTTGTTTTTACTACCTGTAAGTGTTACGCCTGCACATAAACACGTCATTTTGATATGCTTGAACTATTACCAGTTTACCTAGTCGGAAAACGAGAGCGATATTGAGTAAAAATAAGAAGGCTTGATATGAAGTAGAACGTGTATTCTACAAGCATTCAGAAAGTATGTGGTCCGAGTCCAGAAGAGAATCAGGATCCCGGACGAGGGATCTTGGTCTGGGTCCTGGTCCTGGTCATAAAACATCACAGATAATGCGTATTTATACATATTGGTCGAATGCGGAACAGCATTGAAGTCTGTGACATTGACAGTTAAGACGACCAATAGGGAACAACATTTGAAGTGACATTGATAGTCAGGACAACCAATAAGAAACAACATTGCAGTATGTGACATTGATATCCAGGACGATCATAACATTGACCAGTAGAAATTAACCAATAGAAATTGACCAATAATTCTCTTAGGATATTGGATGAATATCCTAACAGTAAGGTAAACAATGAATTAGTCGAACAAGTTTGTCAGTCTTCAACAGTGAACACAATGAATGTGTATGTATGCCTTTACATTATGATTGCATTTGAACTAAACTGCTAACCGATATTTCACTGGTAAAAAGTTTTTTAGTGGATTTTTTTGTTAAATTTATGAATTATCTTGTTTTTTTTCTTTCTAGGTGCATCTGAACTTTGGACTGAATTACGAAAACGCGAGGATAACCTTGATTCATCTTATGTGTTGGAGAATTTTCAAGAAGCATGTCAAGCTGTCAATACAGCAGTTTTACCGACTACAGTTAGTTGTTTTTTTCTTATAAAACATCCGTTTACAAGATGCTTTATAATTGTAGTCACGTGTTGATAATTGAGAGGTTTCATGAATTATGTATATAATAACACAAACTTTGTTCATGTTACCATAATTGTAACCTCTACAGAAGACTACCGATAGGTATGAAATGAAAGGAACTAACCAGATTAGTTGCACGAAATTACAAACCATAAATAGCTGTAAGATATTGACTTGTTCGATCGTTGAAGTCACACAAAATGGTTGTATTTTAAGTCATTATTTTCAAATATAATTCACCATCACCTTAGGTCTCCAATTAAAACTTTTAAAACTTCACACCTATTTACTAAAATGTATGTTTCACGAAACATTTCGGACTACTCTCTATAATTCTATAACTCTTGAACCTTTAGCGCTTCGGAACTACTGAGATGTTGTTAGTAACATCTATTCGATTGTTTTCATTTTTAACATGCACTTGTTGGGAATGTTAGATCCTCAGAACTCACTTGATAAAGGTCCTCATTTCGGATTTTATGTTTTCGAGCATGGGCTGATCAGTTGACCTTGAGATTACATTTCCCACTCGGAAAATCCTTGACTGTCATTGGTTGATGTGTTATTTTAGTACGCTATTTTTGTGGCTCTCCCAAGGACGTTTCTATGATGTATAAATAAACTCGATTTGTGTGCTTGTGAACCTCATATTTTCTGGGTGCTTGTAGAATACCTGTACGTCTTGTTAAGACGTCTTCCTGTATTTAGTGGGGCCTTTGGACGCTGGGATTAGAGTAGCCAATCGTGTCACTGGATCATTTGTCTTCGTTCTCGTTTATCGAGTAAGGTGAACTCGTAATAGTTTGAAGCATATCAGTTGACGAGTATAACAGCTCTACATCCTAGCATTATGTCAACTTCTGAGTCCCATCAATACTATAGATTCCAACTCTTTATCCATAGTAGAACAGTTTTCCTGTTGTGAATTCAGAAAAGTAACTGGTAACAAAAGCCTTTTAAACCTTACTCTGTACAAACATTACTTCTTCTCACTAATTTTCGTTATTTTTCTTCTACATATCTATTTTTTTGAAAATATCTTCATAATGTTAAATTGTCTGTTCTATGTGTTCTATTTCATTGTGTGCCTTGTCTTATGAAGTGGATGTTTAAATGAACAGTGTTGTTTACGAGAATTTTCTAATTCTTTTCACACATGAGCAGAGTTTAAAAAAATCTGTGATCTTACATATTGCTGTTGCTATCTTGTTATAAAGCTCTCAGTTAAACCTGCTATTCTTATTGCTCAGTATTGTCTGACAACAATACACTCGACAAGTCACCAAATCAGAACACAGTGGAACAGGAAGTAGATTATATTCCAAATAGTAAGGTTAAATGGAATTAAGAAGCCGAAGCGAAGACGAAATAGGAACAACGTTAGAATCTTTATAGTTTTTACATAAGAAGCTTCTGGAATATACTCCACGTATCGACTATCGCTGATTGGATTAGATTTAGCCAATCAGCGTGCGCAGCTAACAACACGAAAATTTTCTAGAATGCTTTCCAAGTATCGACCAGGCGCTGATTGGATAGCAATTAGCCAATCAACGCGCAGCTAATGCGGTCATTCTTCAACCCATCGATGTCCCATTAACAATTCTTTTCAAATGTAGCATCAATGATAGCTTTTTTCAGCCAGGTGTTAGTGTAATCCTAATCTTGTGCATACATTGATTTTGTCATTTTAACGAGTCATTAAATTAAGTTGTTGTGTTTTTTATTTTTTCTCTATGTTTTAGATTCCTGATAATGTGAAACGATTACTCAATGATGATCACTGTAATGATCCTTGTCTTATTACCAATACCAATAATATATCAATACCCGGTAGTACAGTATGTGAATACATGAAATTTAGTAGCTTTTATTACTATAGTTCCTTTCTTTTTAGAAAGACTAATATCCGTCTGGCATCTTCTTGTTCACTGTTAAAAGTTGATTATTTGCTGTAGAAATTTAATAGTTTCATGCAACTTATATAAATCTGTTGTGTTTTATACAAATACTTGTTAATAGTACTTACTGTGGGTTGGTGGAGTTTCATTCTCTAAGCTGGATGTTGTTTTGATTGTCGAACTTTCATGGCTGTTCTTCTGAACAACATCATCGGTAAAACCTTCAGAGATAAATGAAGTATTCAAACAATGAGAAGACTGAAGCAGACGAGGAAGATTGTATTATGCAAATTTACACTCTTAGTCAATTAAAAACGAAAACATTACATTGAACACTCTATTTGCACACCATCTTTGAGTTGTGACTTCCAACGCTCCATCCTTCTTCCATTCCTGCTGTTGCTTCATTTACTTCCTATTGGTACTCCATTTACTTCTTGCTTTTGCTCCATTTTCTTTTCGTTTTCCTCTTCTGACCGTGAGACTTCTTTCACATCCCTTCTTATACTACTTATATCGTTCGTATAAGTAGCACACACCACGACGAAACTCCATCACAATCATCCATCTTAGTTACAAATTTTCCCCACCATCTCAACAATACTTACTTCTCAGCAAATTATATTGTAATAGAGAATAACGTTGTTACGAATGCTTGAATTAATACGAGTCCCCTTAGTCGGTGAACAAGAGCGAGGATCGATGATCAGGCGACACATGCTACTCTAATCCGAGCGTCCTAAACCCCCATTAAATAGAAGAAGACTTGATATGAAGTAGAAAGTGTATTCTACAAACATCCAGAAAGTACGAGGTACGAGTCCAGAAGAGGATGAGGATCCGGGTCCTGATTGTCTTCTGGATTCGGACCTCGTACCTTCTGGATGCTTGTAGAATATATATTCTACTTCATATCACGTCTTCTTATTTTTTACTAAATATGGGGGGCTAGGATACTCGGATTTCAGTATTATGTCGTGTCGCCGTATCCTCGCTCTCGTTTTCCTGACTAGGTAAACTCGTAATAGTTGAAGTATATCAAAATGACGTGTTTACTTGCAGGCGTAACAGGGTTCATCTATAACAATCTATTAAATTACTTTTATCTATCTTTATTCATATAAGTAGAATACGAAAATTCATACCAGCAATCATCATCATCAGTTAAACCAAAAGAATTCACCTTATACAACTATTTCATCAGTGAAATTCTGGCGTCTTGTTCATGCTCTACGAGATTTTATTGAACATGAAGGTGAAGGACAATTGCCTGTACGTGGTAGTCTACCAGATATGATATCTGATTCAAAACGTTATTTACAACTTTTATCTATTTATCGTGAACGTTCTGAATGGGCAGTGGAACGTCTTGTTTCAAGATTATTACAGGTAAGAGTTGTAGGAAATAGTTTCATCTATCTTGGTCTTTGGGTAGTGTATTTTCTGTAAACAAATCTTGTCTAGCTGCATGTAATAGAATATCTTTAGAATACTAATCATGGATAGCATCATAAGCAACAGAAAAATATCCTGTTTGAGAAAGACTGCTAAAAATTCTGTCACTCAAGCGTTGGTGTGTTTTTTTACGTGTATTTTATATTGTAGCCAGAAAGTATGATTTCAATATATAGTGTATGTTTGGCTTAGTAGCTATTTCGTCATCTGGCTTGTCGGAAATTAATATCCTACGTGGTTTCTCTATTATCAACATGAAGAACACAAAAGATAATGCTCCAAAGGCATTGAAAAACTATTCCATTCGTCCGGCATTCGGTAATAGTGATACTAGAGTGTTGGATTCAGATTTCTGTCTCTAATTGCGAAATTTGACTTTAGGAATAGGGTTAGCTAATTTCGAATCTGATCATAGAGACTAAATTAGTGTAATCAGTCATAATGAACTGTCTTTACTGACTTAATCCTCCCGGAACATTTACAATAGGAAACCTTTCTTTATGACAATTTGTTCTACCTGTGACATGGGTGAGATTTACGTTTGTCTAACAAAAGGAGAGGAGGATATTATGCGGCAGTTCTGTTTGTATCCTCTTTTTCAACTCTCAGACATCGATAGACGTTAAATGAAATGACATGTACATCGATGTGCTTAAATCTCAATTTCACTGTTAACACTGGGACTCTGGAAATCTGATTACTGTAATTATTCTATTTTCTTCATTTTAGTTTCCTGATATTTCTGTAGACGATGTACGTCTTTTCGGTGAGTCCTTATAAATAAAAATTGTCATTCTCAATACTTACAGTGTTAATGTTTTCTAATCTAATTAACTATAGATTACGTTACAAAAGTGATTTGTTTGTTGATCTAAGTCATGTAAGTGTAGGCGCATTCAACTACCTTTACCACTATGGTATTTGAATCGATAATTGCATCTCTGTGCTAATGTGCTTTGGCAACTGGAATCGATGTACATACATACGAAATTCTACGTTGATAAATGTAGGCGCAGATTAATTAGTGTGGTGTGCTTGGATTATCATGGTACGCTTAGATCCATTCACCCCCCTTTTTCATCCATCTACTTCTTTTTTCCAAGAATTCATTCTTTTCGAATCAATATAGTCTGCACCTAGTTTTTTTCTAGTACAATCGATACTGTGACTACTTCTACTTGATAGTTTTAAACTCACTATGCTTGTGTTTTTTTTTATGTCAACTTAAACACGATGCCCTAAGTATATTCGCCAAGTACTATGTTGCTAATGATTATATGAATTAATGTTGTTTACTTTTTAAAATAATAACATTCATACATAGGTCAATAATATCTATGTAAATCAATAAATTAGTTATTATTAGATGTAGTCTGAGAATTTTTTTTCTCATTGAAAATCAAAATATTTTCAAAATCAGAAAAAAAAGGTTAATGATCATTAATGTAAGTCAAGTAACCAAGTATACATTAAATGAATAGAGTTGTTCTAAAAAATCATTTTGTGTAAAGGGTTAGTGATACTACTACTACTACTACTACTGTAGTGAAGGAGAACACAGGTGAGGGCAACCGAATTGTATTTAACGAAAATTACAGAGTTACTCAGTGAAATCGGAAAACCATATCGTAAATCGTTAATTTGCAAAATAACAGTTCATCATATCGAACTGGACTGTTCCTGTTGCAAAACATCAATCCATTGTCACTACTATTCATGCGTTTCATACAAATTCCATTGTGTTCTAAATCTTCCTTTCTTGATCTTCCCCCATCTCCTGCTGCCAGACATTACGTTGACACTCACGTCATATACTACTTATAAGTAGCTCGCACCACACTACTACTGGGCCGCTAAAATCCAATTAAGTATAATGTTATAATTCTCGCTTATTATTACAACCCAGCTATTTCTCAATGCTTAATATTCTGGGACACGAAGTCGCTCGAGTTGTTCTCCCCAAATCAGAACACGGTTGATCAGGAAAACAGATTATATTACAACAATAAGGTTAGAGCGAAGACAGAAGTTCTAAAGGAAAAAGACGTTAGTATATTCATAGTAGTTATCTGATACGAGAAGATTGTAGAACATTCCCTCAGTGTCGGCTAGCGCTGATTGGATACGAAAGAGCCAATCAGCGTGCAACAACAAAATCACGCTTTAATCCAATCTATGTCCACTAATATATAATGAGTATAAAAATCAGCTAACTTCAGTCATTCATTTTAATGCCGTTGTAAACGAATCATTATATTATCATTTTCAATATGTTTTCAGTGATACTGTGTGTCTTGTCCGTTCATTTTGCTATTGTATTTCTAAGGTTAATATGATTTTAAAATTCATTCTACAGGATACATGTAATGCTAAGCGAATTATTTCAATGAAGACGTTCATTAATTTTTGCTATGTACACCATTTAGATGTGTTGGGGACGTTAGATCCCCAGAACCCACTTGATTAAGGTCCTCATTTCGGATTTTATGCTTTCGAGCTTGGGCTGATCGGTTGAGTTTGAGATTATATTTCCCACCCGGCAAATCCTTGACTGTCATTGGTTGATGTGTTATTTTAGTTTGCTATTTTTGTGGCTCTCCCAAGGACGTTTCTATGATGTATAAATAAACTCTATTTGTGTGCTTGAGAACCTCATATTTTCTGGGTGCTTGTTACACTCGTCTCTAAGTATGCTTAAAACTGTTACGGGTACACCTTAGTCAACTAACGAGAACAAAACAATGAACCAGCGTTCAGGTAGTCTACTGTGATCCGATTGTCCCAATTGTACCAGCAGGAAGTCTTGAAATAGCGTAGAAAGTATATTCTACAAACAACCAGCCAGCACACAATGAATCCAAGCACTCAAATTTCGTTTATTTATACTCCATAGAGTCGTCCTTGGGACAGTCACAAAAATAGCACCCTAAAATGACAGTAACCAATCACAGCCAAGGGTTTTCCTGGTAGGAAGTATATGTGATCTCAAGGTCAACTGATCGGCCCGTGAAATAAATCCAAAATAAAGATATTTATCAAGCGAGCTCTGGCGATCTAACATCCCCAACACTTGTCAATACTTCTTCTACTTAGTGGGCACTTGGGACGCTCGATTTAGAGTAGCCTATAGTGTCACTGGATCATTTGTCTTCGTTCTCGTTTACCGACTAAGGTGAACTCGTAATAGTTTGAAGCATATCGATATGACAAGCATAACAAAATGTTCATACATTTAGTGGAATTTTAAAACGGTGACTGTTTTTTCTTTTAAATGAAACATCTTACTATGGTTAGACATTGTTGAGTTATTTGATCTTATTTTGTTTAATTTTTAATCTGTTTATTAACATTTTTTTTTACTGGTCTTTATTGTTCAGTCAAAAATTCCAGCTTCTTACATGTTGTACGTTGTCGGTCATTAGAAGAAGAAATGAAACTTTCACCGGCACGTTCCGATGATCTGAGTAAATTTGTGTTTTATTGTTAAAATTTTTTTTAGGTTTTTATCATAATCAATGATGATTTTATTTCTAAGTTGTACTCATTTTTTTGTATTTGACAACAAAAAATTGACTTTTAAAGACGTGTTATTATTCGTTCAAAGTATTTTAGTGACCCGATATTTGACTAAAATTTGTAGGAATATATGCCATGAGATAAAATTTTTTTCATCTAATATCCGTATCTCATTCTTAGGCGAACCCCGTTTGTGCGATGACGGTAATGAGAAACCACGTAGACAGACATGAAGACAAAAATCGTGAGCGTGAAGTGGAGAACGCGAGTAACCTAACTCAATGCGATGAGGCATGATGAAGTATTCTTAGTCAAACAAAAATAAGCTAGACATGTGTTAAGCAAAGTAAGCAATGTACAAACACACATACTTAAAGAAAGCTAACCTAGATTTTAAGCGAATAATTGACAAAGTCAATTGACGTGTGGATATCAACTCAGGCAGAATAGAACAGACCATGTAGGCTCAACGGATTCATACACACACTACAGCTTCATAATTCTCCCACTATAAATGTGTATCACTGACTTTTCAGATTTTCAAGAATTCATTCTATACAATGAGCAACGACTTTGATTTCATTTGATCAGCGATAAATTCAATTGTAGGGTTTATTATGTCCAATCAATCGTAGTTAGGATTGTGTAATTTAAAATCTTTATATACTATCCGGTTAATTTCAAAACAACTCTCATCCTTCTTGACTTTTTATATTCTGTCGAGTGTGTTTACACAGTGAATGTGGATTCACTATAGTTATTATGAATTCTAGTATTTTATCTGTATACAATATTATGTTATGACCTTGGTTGTTGTTGTTGTTATTGTTTTTCGTCAGCCTTACTTCCAACACATGAAGAAAATGATTCCATGTTATGGTATTTAGTTCTACGAGGTGCTTGTAGTTTTCTAATGGAAACTGGACGATGGCCTGGTAGTTCACAACCTTATACTATTACAAAATGTAAATTAAGTTCTAATAATCAAAATTCACACCCAACTGAAATTTCAACATCATCATGTAAAGAAGAATTGTTTAACAAGACCGCGGAACACTCAAACATAAATATCATTGAATCTGATTTACCGACATTACGAATACATTTAAATCGTGTTCTTCAATCGTTTGGAATTGCATCGAATCGTGTCAGTACAGATTATTTAGAGGTAAGATATGTTAACTTAATTATATATTTACAGTAAGTTATTCTTGCAGTTTAGCCAAGGTTATACAGTACTAATAAAAATGTAACGGACTAATAGTGCAACATACCTATCTCTATATGAGTCCGTTATTTTAGGCTGCTTAGAAGGTCCAGAGATATTCTTTACTAAGTAGGAATAGTTTTTAATTATTTTTTTCTGGTTAGCGTTTTTTTAACGAGTTAGTTTTATACGGGATGAGGTCGTCAACCCCATCCCCAATCCTCCTTTATCCGGGCTTGTGACGTCCGTAGCCACAGAGGAGCTCCATACGGAACATTCAAGGTCAAAGGAAAAGAGGAAGATCAAGGAACACATTATGCCGAAAAACGGAAATAGTCATGGGAAGAATGAACAAAAATTGGACAGAACTGGAAACGGAGGCCCAGGACAGAGTAGGCTGGAGAATACTGGTCGGCGGCCTATGCTCCATTGGTGGTAACAGGCGTAAGTAAGTAGGAGTAGTCCGTGATCGGTCAATGAGCGAAGACAGAGACATTTAGCCACACTAAACATAAAAGAGCCCAATGGACAACTGCTTGATGCCGGTCACGCACGGACTTTATATAAGAAGTTTTTAAAGTGTTAGCTTCGCTCTTCCATTGACCTTACTGCCGGAGACGGAAATCCGTGAGGTCAGGTGAGGTGTGACATTTTTAGAGTCGACGTTTTCTAACCTCTTACTTCCTTCTCAGAAGGCAGCATCGTTGCAGGCTATGGTTGTCCAAGGGAAACACCTTACTGCCTTCACACCCCTCTACAGTCAGCAGTAGGACTTCGCCCTCAGACTTTGAGTAGCTGCTTTTAGTCTCATCGTTCTCCAATCGACCTGCCTGGCATGGTAGAATCTTCAGGAACATCTGTTACGATGGGTCATCAAGATAAGCAATCCCGACGACTGCGTCAAAGTATCAGCTACATTCGGGAGTGTGGTCGTTAACAAACACTACTAAGGAGTCTCACGCTAAGACAAAACAATTGTTCAGTGCTGCCTGATTTTCAATGGCCTAATTAAAATCAATGTGTAAATCAGACTATCTCCGCAAACGCCTTAGAACAAAACAAGTCATGATTCTCAATAAGTTCGGTGTATATTACTATTTTGTCTTTGTTTCGATCGATTGAAGTTGTCATACTTCTACTATTTTTTTTCTAATCTACAGGAAATATGTCAAGTCGGTGGATATGAACTACATTCAGTGGTTGCATTTATGGGTGTAGTTGTAGCACAAGAAGTAATCAAGCTAATCACGCATCAATTTGTTCCCATATCAAAACCATTGATTTATAATGCTATATACCAAAAAATTGAATTATTGGATTTTTAATCAATATTGTTGTGCATAGGTTGAGAATGTGTATACACCATATTGAATAAATCTTATTGTTCAATTCACCTGCTACATTTTTTTTAAAATCTTTTTTCCTATTCCGATTCAATCAGCGTTAAGTATGAGATTCATAGATTTGGAAAAACCAAAACTTTTATCCTAGTTAACCCTAATCAATAATGAGTTCAGATTTATATTGAGAGTTTCAAGAAAGTAGCGAACATACCTATCTGGAATCTGTATATTTATATGCATTAGCCCTCCAGTATGTTATGCTTCATCATGTAAAGTCATTGTGAACAAAAAATAAATAATATGAGCTACACCACTGAAAACCTCGTACAAAACGTCTCAGCAATGTGCACACATAACCACCTGGCTAATGATCGGCTCCAAGTTTCGCAACGAGCACTTAAATTTTAAACCATTGGGTGGTTTGCACGAAGTAGTTCACATTTTTTGAGTTTGATCTATTCACAAAGTGAAGAAACACTACTGAAATATTAAAAAAACATATAACGGCATATGCCTCTTTGTTTGGTTTCATGTCAATTCAGTTATGACCACCAATCATCACTGGTTCCTCACCTTTCACTTAATGCCAACTTTTTACAGATTTTCAGTTTGTGTTAACTTTCGAGCACTAAACGTACCAAAAATGTAATGGGAATTCGGCTTTAAACATTGATAACAAATGATGGACGCGCTTGTCCCCGAATATTTCTGTTTATGGTTTCGCCACTATTCTTTGTGGCTTACTTTTAATTACAATATCATTATGTCAGAACTGAGGATGATCTAGACACAAGAGTATACATCTAAGCGAATCTCATTTCGTTAAAAAAAGCTAAGTTTCTCCTACATAACTATCAGTAATAAACAATTAACATATCTATACATCTGACAATAACCTAAATAAATCATCAACATCTGCTTTCTGTTATTCGTTACAATAATAAACGAAGTTCTGAATTCATTATGAATAAAAGATGGTAATAACATTTATTGAATATTTCTCGACGTGACAGGAAACCGGGTATATGTGTGTTAATTTGTCACCACGTACGCTTGAAGCTATTATGAGTTCACCTTAGTCGATAAACGAGACAATAAACCAGCGTCCAGGTAGGCTACCTTGACCCGCAAACTGCAAAAGAGAAGTCTTGATAAGCGTAGAAAGTATATTCTACAACAACCAGCAAGCACATGAACCGCGTTTATTTATACATCATAGAAACGTCCTTGGGACAGTCACAAAAATAGCACACTAAAATACACAACCAAGGATTTTCCTGGTGGGAAATGCGATCTCAAGGTCAACTGATCAGCTCATGCTCAGAAACATAAAATCCAAAATTAAGGCATTTATCAAGCGAGGTCTGGGGATTTAACATCCCCAAAAATGGCACATAGTTTTTCACATTACGATAATACAGATTGTTGATCTGCTTCTCAACGATGGTGATTGAAGCTTATGTTCAAAAGAGGCTAATTAGGTTGCTTAATTTTATATCACACATACTATTGTGACTTTAACTCCTAATGTCCCTCTGGGGTTACTGCCGGTCCTAAGCCCGGAAAAAGGAGGAGGGTTGGGCATGGGGTTAGCGACTCCACCCCGTAGAAAACAAACTCGCTAAGAAAATGCTAACTAGAATGAAAGCCGAGTTCCTTCAGACCAGGATCAGACGACATCCCAGCTGAGCCAATGAAAGCAGACGTAGCAGTAAATGCACAGATACTCAAGATCAGCAGTCTGGATTTCGTAAGGAACGACCGTGTACCGACCAAATTGCAACATTACGGATCATTGTGGAACAACTAACTGAACGGAATTCACCACTCTACATCAACTTCATTGACTACGAGAAAGCACTTGCTTGCGTGGACAGGAAAAAACTATGGAGGCTTTTTCGACACTATGGCGTGCCTGAGTTCTATTACTTGATTCAGAGTGGTAATATGTTTTCGAGATAGAACACATCACATTTCCGTAGCCTCCCTTACACAACTCTTCGTACTGATAAGTGGTGGCGTTGCTGAGGGACAGTTCACTAATCCTTGTCAAAACTGTAACATTAATGAGTGTGGATTGAAATTTATTTCTTAACCATTATTGTGAAACAATAACTGACTCGACTAAACTATGATAATAGTGTTACCTCCACACATTCGAGTTCGATTAATTTATTTAACCAAGCCATTTGTATTGCAACAATTTATATGTACCATTCGTTATTATTGTCTGGCTAGTATGAGCTCACATGAAGTGTCCCACTTGTCATTTGACCTTGTCAACCATTCGTCGCTTTTATTCATGTGTGCCTACTTCGCATGTCTGTCTTATATTTGTCTGACTATATATTCTTAGTCACGCTCTATCTCTTCGAACTGACTCACTAGCCTTCTCCAACGCGCTTCTCCTGTCCATTCGCTTCCTTCGCCCATCCGTTCGCATTGTAATTCTGGGGGTTGGCTCATTAGCCTTCTCCACATCACTTCATTTGCCTGCTTTCGGGCGCTCGCATGACGATTTCATCTTATAGCGCTTGCAGTCTGTTGGTCTATTTGTCGTGTGTCAAAAATGAACGTATTCGACACTTTGTGTTCACCTTCTGATTTATAAACCGTCAGACGCTAGTTAGTAACGACTCTCTGGATGAGCTAATCACGAAGATTAAGAAAACGTCGAAATCGGCCACCATATATATATATATATATATATATATATATATAATTTGTCCTACTGTTTTGGGTCAACAACAATTGGCTAACTGAATGAATATATTTTAAGAAATTGATAAGTTTTGCGAGTATTAACACAGTAAACGGTAACCGAATTCAAAGTTGACTTGATGAGTCAAGACTTTTCGGTCGACTAACAAGCCTAACTCGCTAGTTTGTCGTACTATTAACGAGATAATTCACTTTATGCTATTTGAGAGTGCATAGATTTGAAATTCATCCATTATTCTCAGGCAGAGTTTCGGAGGTTTGTGTTTTTACACAACTGAAATCATCAATCAATCATTGTTAGACCACCATTAGAAACCTGGAAGCACTGGACGGCCGTTCCGTCCTGGTATGGGACTCATCAGCAGTGCGCATCCACGACTCCTGCACCCCGCAGTACTCGGAGCCGGGACCACCGGTATTGTGCACGAACGCCTAACCATCGGACCGCTGGGTCGGCATCCAACGGTGTTAATGTCTAACTCTGATTGATTGTCTTTGGTAGTTACTGCCTACACCCAACAGGGTTGAACTCCATTGGTCACGTCTTCTCAACTAGAACTCAGAGAATTTCCTCACGAAGCTAGTCACTGGTGAGCACAGTTTATGATATTTTCGGGCAGAGTTTTTTGGAGGTTTTTGTGTTTTTACACATTTGAACTGATCCACTATGGTTACATTTATAAATTGTAATAAACTAATTAGAAGTAAAATTCAAAGTACAAAAAAAAAACTTCATCATACAGTTTATCTTGTTTGTTTTTTTACAAAACAGTCATGAAAAATAAATCGTATACAACATGTTATTACATTATTTGTTAAAAAAACTTTTTAAGATGTGAAAATTCTTCTCAAGTATTTATAATGAAAAAGTCAGGAGAAAACAAATTGAAAAAAAATCATACACACAATGAAACTATATAATATATATTGAACAAGTGTAGTAGTGAATGAGAAAATACTACTCTATGTATATATGTATAGTGCCTTCAGGAAGTGTTTGTCTCTTGATTGTCTGAATTAAATGTTTGATCAATATCATTGATTTTATTATTATTATTATTATCTCCTATAGTAGTATTAGTAGTAGTAATCGTAGTAGGTAAAATTCCATGACGTTGTTGATCCCAAAGTTTTCTATAGTATGAATCTGATTGTGCTAATAGACTAGAATGTGTACCACGTTCAGATACATGACCATTTTGTAAGACTAAAATTTCATCAGCATCAATAATGGTACTTAATCGATGTGCAATGACAAGTGATGTAACACCAGGTGTAACTTCTGTTAATCGTTGAAGAATAGTCTATATTGTTTTAATAAAGAAATTGGAAAACACAAAACAACAGAATTATATATATATATATAGATGATAGTAATCGATGTTTAGAGAGCTTGTATGACATGACTCAAAACCGTTTGCAATGGCGCAAGTGTTCTCTAAAATTCTAATCTTCTGAATTCTTCATCATCTTTAACTTTGTCTTTCTTTCTACAGTTATCTCACTAGATTATACTTCTTGAATAATTTCTTTGAACGCTAGTCTTTCCGATTACAACTAATACTTTTACTACTGTTACGATATTCATCCAATATCCTAAGAGAATTATTGCTCAAATCCTATTGGTCAAAATTATGGTCATTTTAACTATCAAAGTCAAATACTTCAATGTTGTCTCTTATTAGTCATCCGGACTGTCAATGTCATTTCAAATGTTCTTTCTTATTGGTTGTCCTGACTATCACTGTCACAGAATTCGATGCTGTTTCCTATTCGACCAAAATGTATAAATACGCATTATTTGTAACATTTTATGACCAGGACCGGGGCTCGGTCCCGGATCCCTAGTCCGAGATCCTGATTCTCATATGGATTCGGACCTCGTACTTTTTGGATGCTTGTAGAATACAGGTTCTACTTCACATTCAAGTCTTCTTATTTTTACCAAATATGGTGGTTTAGATGATCGGATTAGAAGTAGCTTGTCGTGTCACCGGATCCTCGATCCTTGCTCTCGTTTTCCGACTAGGGTAATCTCGTAACAGTTCAAGTATATCAAGTTGGTGTTGTTACGTGCAGGCGTAATAACTACCTCTACTACTATGGGATTTGAATTGTCAATTACATCTGTCTGTGCTAATGTGGTATGACAACTTGAACTGATTTACGTAACGTACGAAGTTCTACGCTGTGACAGACTGAATGACTTCTCCTAAATTGAACAAATGATAATGAGTTAAAAAAAACTGACTAATAAACCAACCGATTTATCTGTTCATTCACGTGTGCTTAAAACAAACATTGTCACACATAAGCAGACTGTCTGTATTTGTTGACCCGATGACTCTCTTTAGTTTAATGCCGTCTTATGATTACTAGATCCCTGAAGAAGTTTTATCAGCATACTTAAAACCAACTGGTGGTCTAACAATGATTGATTGTATGATTTCAATGTGTACAACCACTTATCTCCATAACTCTAACTGAAGATATTTTAAAACTGGTTCGGTACAACTGCTAACGTAATCAGAGTATACAAACTGAATCTGAGCTAATTCTATATTGTCTTTCAAGAACGATTTCCAACTTTAAGGAAAGGACAATAAATAAGCTAATTAAATTGTACTATAATTAATGTACTTTCGGTATGATACAAATTTCGTACCACCTTCACTTACTCTGGACGGTCAATTGATTTAAAACTGAGAAGTGTGCACTGTTAATGATGTGACATGGAGTAGTAGTTGTATACAACAAAATTTAAAGCGACAACTGCTATAGTCTAATATTCATGTCTGATGGCTCTTATGAGGTTTTTTTGTTTGTTTACAAATAAATCTATTATACACTGGGACATATGTCACGTATGCCTAACCACCGACTACCTCGTCGAGTTATATATTGCGATGTAGAAATAGGTTGGAAGGAACCCAGAGGCGGCCAAACCAAAACATGGCACAAATCCATGAGGTCACTGACAAGTAGACTGAGTCATGCTAGTAAGTGTAGGCTACCTGGTTTGGGTCCGCAAGATGATAGTAATCGATGGTTAGAGACCCTGAATGACATGACTCAAAACCGTTTGCAATGGCGCAGGTGCATTCATTCTTTGGCTTCTCTCAAATCCTAACCTTCGGAGTTCCCCATCATCTTATTCTTTTGAGGTCTATTCTACTATGTTTTACTTCTTGAATAATATTATCGGACCTTAAAATCTCCGATTACTGCTAATACTTCCACTACCTCTACTACTATAGGATTTGAATTGACAATTGCATCTCTTTGCTACTGTAGTATAGCAACCTGAACTGATGTACGTACGTACGAAGTTCTACGTTGCTGTTGATTGGCTGATTGATTGACGAGAATTTCGATGAATATTGATTAAGAATTTTTTTTCTCATTTAATAGCCACTATTCATTATCATGAGTTGGAAGTGAGAAATATTTAATTAACTGAAATCTTAATTATAATAAAATCTAAAACAAATTAGACTTCAAATGGAGCCCATCGAAAAAAAAAACATACATGTTCAGTGATTGAATCTAGTGATGATGTTGCTTCATCGTAAATTAAAATTGGAGCTTTTTTCAGCAAAGCTCTAGCTATTGCTATTCGTTGTTTCTCACCACCGCTCAATTTTAATCCACGTTCGCCAACCTGTACATTTTGAGAATAGAAAAACCATAAGTTTATAAGACATTATTAAAACTGACGAACAATTGATCACTTAGAGAATTATTAGCGCAATAAATGTATGTCGGATGTAATGTAGTGAAGGAGAACGCAGGTGAGGGCAACCGAATTGTATTTATCTCAAATTACAGAGTTAATTGCTAAAATAGAAAAACCATATCGTAAATCGTTAATTTGCAAAATATCAATCCATCATATCGAACTGGACTGTTCCTGTTGCAAACATCAATCAGTCTGACATTTTACTGTTCATGCGTTTTCATACAAATCCCATTGTGTTGCCGCTCTTCCTTTCTTGATCTTCTCCATCTTCTGCTGCCAGACATTATGTTTTTATTCGCGTCATATACTACTTATAAGTAGCGCGCACCACAGTAGGTTATATTCATCAAAAATTATTCTTAATTAAAGTACCATTGAAAACATGGTAGTATTGGATAATTGTTTCGTTCTAGTATGGAACACTCACCATCAGACTACCCAAAGTTTAACATTAAAGATCGAATTAAAGTGGACCTGCTTCCTAGTTTCTTAGCAAACACTTATGCCTTAAACCACAAACTGAAAGCCGTATTGGATTCAAAGTCAGTTTTCGAAAAGCCTTTTTCTACTAAACTATAACAGTACAAGGGTTGGCTTAGTCATATTAGTTGGCAGTCCATTTACTTCCAGAGGTTTCTTGGTAACTCTAACGAAGAGCTTGTGACTGGTGTTCAGACATGTCAGAGTGACATGTCTGATGTAGTCGTGAATTGATTGGAGCCTTACTGCCCGGCCAAAACTCGATTGTCCTAGTGTTCAGCTTTTACCGTGACGCATAAAAACTTCCTGAGTTTGGATCCTGGTGGAGTGGGTGAATGTCACTGCTGACGACCTTTTACTATAAAAGACAGCCGTCCCTTGGTTTTTTAATGATACCTTAACTGTGATCAAACTTTGACAAAATATAGCCTACAAATTAAAACAATCTTTCAAAACGAAACATCACCTAAAGTATGTTAAATGTACTTATTCCTGATAAATATAACTCATTTATCAAGTTAAAGTTTACATAGTCAGCTATGAGCGGACACAACTGTTTGATACTACCAGACTATCTAAAATTAGAAAATAGTCCTGAATGACATGTTAACTAACAACTTTGCGACTCGCAAACTAAAATCTTTTTACCTGTTAACCAACTTGTTATAGATAATAAATGATTCTAATTAGCATTTCTTTACATTCACATTTTCACCAGTGACAAAACAATTTTCATATTGACTAGAACCTATTCGTGTTACAATAACTACTCGACATGATCATGAAGACCGAATAGATTGTAACTAACAATATTCCAGACCGAATATGAAGTGCAGAAGATATAAAACTATACACCTTTAAGAAGTGTATCCTTCTTTGTCTCCGTCTATGGATGATAATGATGAGTAGAGTGTAATTGGGTTTTTACTGTTACCGTATATCATAATATATGCAAGTATATAGTAGTCGCATACTATAAGTGTGAAGCATTTTTTTTAAAAATCGACATGTCTCACTTACTTGTGTATCATATCCATTGTGGCATACGTTTAATTGCAATTGGCTATATTTGCTAAACGAGCTGCCTCGTAGACTTCTTCTGCAGTTGCATTCAAATTACCATATTGAAGATTATAGAATATAGTATTTAAAACTGTATCCTATATGAAACAACAAGACAATTTTATGAATGGATTGTTCAGAGAGAAAACATTTACACAATTCATGTTGAGGTATTAAGCAGATGTATTTTTTTTTGTTTGAAAAAAAGGAAGGTGTGATTATTGTCGGGGACGTTTCGATCCTCAGAACTCGCTTCATAAATGCCTTAATTTTGGATTTCATGTTTACGAGCAGGTGCTGATCTGTTGACTTTAAGATTACATTTCACACCAGAAAAGTCTATGGCTGTGATTAGCTGCTATGTTTTTTAGTGTGCTATTTTTGTGACTGTCCCAAGGAACTTTCTATGATGTATAAATAAACGCGGTTTGTGTGCTTGATTGTATTGAGCTTGCTAGGTGTTTGAAGAATATACTTTCTACGCTTATCAAGACTTCTTGTTAGCTGTTTGGTGTCAACAGATCAGAGTAGCCTACCTGGATGCTGGGTCATTGTCTCGTTCTTGTTTATCGACTAAAGTGAACTCGTAATAGTTTCCAAGCATACCTAGTGACGAATCATAACAGTTATGTGACAACATTAAAGATCAAACTTTGTACAACGCATAATAACTGATGGTTTAAGACTCAGATGAAATATT